TATTAAATGCATGCAATTTATCTATTTTCTGTCTTGAAGCAGTTTTCTCATAAGAAACACCCTTAATTTTCAAAATAGATGCATTAGTGATCATCAGAGAAGCCTGAAATGGAATAAATATTTATTAACTGTTAAATAGTTTATGTTATTTATGGCAATTTTTTTATGTAGGTTACTCTTTTTTTTAGACAGTGAATTTCCTGTTCTTTGATATCTTTGTATCTTAGATTTAACTAGATATGCTTAAAATTTTTGTGCTTTTTAGCACCTCCCCCTGCTTCCTGTCTGCCTGTCTCAGTTATTTGCACTTCCTCTGGAAGCATGTTTGCACTGCCTGGTACAGCTATAAATCTATTTTTTTTTTAGAATTAGTACTTTAAAAACGTCACTGGTTACATCTTGTGTTTTCTGACATCTGCAGAAATGTAACATTGAATTCAGCAAAAGAGCTTGATCAATTTTATTTATTGTTTTCCTGTGCAAAAAGAAATTCTCTTTTATTCCAGTGTAATGGAAGGGGAAGGGAAAATAATTGTGCTTGTATCTCTGTTTGAGACTGGAATATAGGCCATAGGAAGATATTCTGTGTAGTGACGGGTTTGTCTCCCTTCTTAACGGAGTAATTGTGTGATGGTGAGTGTGACCTGTACTTTTCCTCAAATTGCTTTTTTGGAACATTGCAGTGAGCAAGGAAGTCAATAAACAGGGGGAAGGGAATAAATAGGGGAAAGAAGATAAATAGGGGAAAGGAGATAAAGAGGGAAAGGAAATAAAGAGAGGAAAGGAGATAAAGAGGGGAAGGGAAAGGGAATAAACAGGGGAAAGGAAATAAAGAGGGGAGAAGAAATAAAGAGGGAAGAGGAGATAAAGAGGGGAAAGGAGATAAAGAGGGGCAAGGGAATAAAGAGGGGAAATTGAATAGCAGAAAGGAAATAGATGGCAAAAAGGAAATAGATGGCAAAAAGGAAATAGCAAAAAGTGAGTAAATTGCAACAAGAAAATAAACAGCAATAAAAACCAAGAAAATAAACAGCAATAAGCAAGTAACCAGTAAAATCCTCTGTGCAAATTTAGAGGTGAGCGCCTGTCCCCAGCAGCTCCCGCTGTCCAGGCTTCCCCGTTCCCAGGTGCAGCTGCAGGAGTGCCCTCTCCCACCTTGGCAGGTCCCGCTTGCCCCGCCGGGCTCTGTCCCTCCTGCCGTGCCGGCTCCGCACACTGCGGGCTGGGCGCGGAGCGGGAGCATCGCCTGCCAGGCTGTGGCTGCAGGTTCACATGACTAATGCTGGGAAAGAGAGCAGGAGCTTTTTTTCATTTTTTTTTTTTTTTTTGAGGAGCTCCAGTCTGTGCACAGTTGGCTCCCAGCTGACAGACAGAATGTGGGGTGGGCTTTGTCACCAGAACGCTGGGTACTGCATGCCCAGCTATGCTCGCAATTCCACAGTGCCCAGAAACCTGCTGCTTATGTCAGGGTGCAGCCAGCCTGAACACGTAGAAATTGGGTAGCTCGAGGAATTTTTTTTTATTTTATTTTTATTTTTTTTATATTTTTTTGCCTCTGTCTTCCCAGCAAAGGTTATATAATGAGGGGATTGCTGCTAAAGTAAAAAGGGAAAATGAAGTCTTTGTTAAATGCCTTCACAAAGAAAGAAGGTAAGCGATGAAAGCAGAACACTTTGATGTTTCAGACCGGTGTTTTCTTGTGTACATTGAATATGATGGGTTTAGTGACTCTGTAATTAATCAATTCCTGCAATTTCTTTTTCAAAATTATTTGATGTTAGACAGTCCATTTAGGCAAGTGGTTATTAAAGCTGGATGTGACTTTGTTCCTTTCAGGATTTTCTCTGAAGAATCAAGTAGTTATAGAAATGTTTTTGTTCCCTAAGAAATGCATTTGGAGACACGTTAAGGATTTTCCAGGGTGAATTTTGTCAGTAAATGGTGCTGAAATGCCCCTTCAGATGTATGAAGTGCCAGAAATAGAATTGGGAGAGCTGGAGGAAGGATTATATGGTACTTTCAAGTATGCTTTTAGGGATGATAAATTTAAACTTTAGGGGCATGTAATTAGTTCAGGCGTTTTCTTGTGGTTTTATATCAGCTGTTTTTCCCAGACAAGTTTTGCAACAGTTAGACTTACAGTTCTGAATGTGGGGAAATATTAGGGAAAATCACTGTCCAACTGGATTAAAGGGTGGACATTTTCATTCCATCATATTGTGTTGCAGTTATTTTAATTTTATTCTTGTGAAATTAATAAAAATATTGTTGATAAGAAGAAGCTAAAAAAATATCCACCCACTTACAGTTTGCAGATTGCTGGGGAAAAGAAACAGTTGGGTGGAATATTAATCACTTCAGGCTACAAAATGCTTATTTTTAACTCTTTCTATAAAAGATTTGTGTTAGACAAGCGTCAATTGGTGTCATTACTCGTCCTCTTTCCTGATTATTTTCTGTAGTAAAGGCTAATTTTGCTCGTAGTTCCCTCCTTAAGAATAGAGCATTAGTAGCAAAGCAAAAGCTAAACTCTTAAATGAGCATGTAAAATCCTTCTTAGGCATGTAAGGGAAAAAGAAGAAAAGGGTACCTGGAGAGTGGTTCCCCATCTCTGTTGGTATAAATCTGCTCAGCAGCTTTCTGTCCTGTGCTCCCTCCCCTCCCCTCCCCTCTCACCAGGAGATATCCCACCAACTTCTCCAGAGTCCCAGTGAACACCCCCAAACCACTGGCAATATTTAGTTTTATCTATCTGTGGTTGGAAGGCTGGGCAGGCTGCTTGGAGTGACCCCTGTTTAAGTTCATGAAAAATTAAAATCCAAGGGTCAGACTCAATTTTTGCTGAATCCAAAGCAAACTTTGGCGACCCTGAGACAGCATGATTAGACCTTCAGGTGGCAAAACTGCCAAACATTCCCTAGATTCGGTTTTGAGCGCTTTCTCCTTGACTGGATTCTGCTCTGTTGAACCTGGGAAAGATCCTTATCTTCAGTGAAATAATTCCTAGAGTCAGATTCCAAGTGTCAAAAATAGAGGAGTGCAGAAATGTCACATCTCTGTCCCCTACATCAATCTAAGGATCTGTATATGCCAATTTGGGAGATAAATGCTTAGTTTTCTTTCAGTTGGCACTAACCAGGGCTTTCACTGTGACATCTAAAGCACCCAGGTGCTCTGACTGACATACTCAGCTGCTTTGAAACATTAAAAAAATATGAAATGTGAAAAACTTGAAATGCCATGAACATTATACAGAGTTTCTGCCACTTTCCAGCATAAATATTGGATTTCTCTGCTTTATCCCCTTTAATAGCCTTTAAAGAATGCTTCCCTCATTTCAGCCTTGTCTCAAAGGAAACATGGATTTTAAGCCCTTTCTCTCTGTGCACACTGTTCTCTTGTTTGGTTGTTCTGATGTTGTTGAGTTGTTTACTAGAGAAAGTTTCAGCTCATTAGAAATACAAAGGATGCTGTTTTAAAATATTCAGAATTGTAGTTAATCATAAACTGGTTCTGGTGAAAATTATATAAACCACTTTTGTCCTTGTAGTTCCATCTCTATTTTATGCTATAAATAAGCTCTCAGTTTTGCTCTGAAACCTTAAATTTTGCTTTGTTCTCTCAATTAAAGGCTCTATTTCAAGGCAGGACAGATTGATTCCTATGTATATTCATATTTATGTGAATTTATTTACTTGCACAGTATGACAGACATTCTTATTCTGGTTTTTGTGTGGTTTTGAAGGGTATTGAATGAGTAGACATTTCTGGCACTTCATAAATGGCACTTACTGGCACTTTAGACATGTAGGATGATATTTTGTGGGGCTTCTTTCCCAACTTAAATATGATTTTTTTTTGAGAATTACAGCAGCTCAATGAAGTCCTCAGAATAATGCCTGGCTGTTAGTTTTACTATTGTGACTTTTCAGGTGTAAATATGTGCACTCTGGCTCAACTCCTGTGACCCCACGAGCTCCGCTGAAATAAATTAATGGGGGTGGTTGCAACAGTGGGAAGCAAGTCAGGAATGAGGTTTTGTGGTTAAATCCTCTATTACCTTATGAGAGGATAGGAAATATCACATCTAGTAATGTCCGGGTGTCTTTTTATGAGGAAATTTGCCTTTTAAGCTGCACTTGGAACAAACTACTACAGGGAGAAAAGGTGATCTGGAAAGCAGTATCTGCTTGTGCAAATGTCCCAGGAACACTGATGAGGGGATGCACTCTCTGCTGTGTGTTAGATTTTTACTGCCCTTGCCTCATTTGCTGTTGTGACTGTTTCATTAATAAGTATTTTGCAGCCTTTGGATCCAGCCGTGTTCCCTTTGGGACAGGGCACGTGACAGGGAGTGTATTCCCCTGGGGTAATATGTTCTATATACAATAGTAATAGATGTGGTAGAAGTGCCTAGATTAGAAATAGGGGAATACCTGGGGATTACAGCGATGTAATAGAGTTCTGCCAGGAGAAGAAGCCATGTCCTCAATTTTTAACCTGGAAGATGGGGATAAGGTGACTATTAACACTACAGATTTTGGGTTAGGCCTGAACTTGTGATGGACCAGTTTGTGTGCCAGCTGGGAGAAAGAAGGTGCAAGTTCACGCCTCAGAAATTCTGCTGGTCAGCCCTGTTCTGTGCCGTCCTGATGGAACGTGACAACACGGCACAAAAATGAAATTTCTGAACCTCCAACTTGGCAATAATGAGGTGAATCCTATTTCCTAGACCATAGTTCAGGCTTTTCAGCTCACTCTTGCCACTGGTGTTGCTCAGCTGTTCATCCAAGCCAGTAAGCAGGTCCATATTGCTCTGTTGTTTTCAATTTTACTGATGTTTTGAGGTTAATGAGTTCGATCAGCTCTGCTGGCAAGGTAGAGTTTCTGTCTCTGCAAAAGAAACAATGCCATATGTTGCTGAATTATTTTATATGGTGGTAAACACATGTGAGTGGTGAAATCATCTGAGATTACCCTGAATGTCTTTTTTCACACAGTGCCCTTTAGGGAGGCTCCCACCTATTCCAACAGAAGGCGGAGACCTCCGAGCACCTTGGCAGCCCCTCGGATATTGCTCCGCTCCAACAGCGACAACAACCTGAACATCAACAACCTCCCCGAGTGGTCAGCGTCCTCCTCTGCCTCTTCACACCGCAGCCTTTCACCTCATCTGCTTCAACAGATGCAGAATAATCCCAATGGAACTGTAAAAACCGTGGGGAGTTACACTCCGTCCTCCCGGAGCCGCTCGCCATCCCTGAACAGGCTGGGAGACGATGCCAAGCGGCAGCAGCACAGGCACATCAGGTGACTTTGATCTGCTTGAGATATCCCTAAAGTCATTGTGCTGCATTGCCACGTGTTTTATGTTATTTATATGTCCACTTTGCACTCCATATAATATATGGGTATTAAATCTCAGCACAGTGGACCATGTCCAAGTGTGAATATTTTAATTGGAAGCACCAGTCAAAGCCAGCTGTTTCCTCACAGGGCTCCAGCAGCCAGGCAGGATTTAAAGTTCAGCAGAGCTCAGCAGTGACTTAACACAGGGTTTGCACCTTCAAATCAATGTGCTAAGCTCTCAAGATCTTTAAATGTTGAAATAAGGATTGAATTTAACAGCAAAGTAAAATGTTTCTGCGATATTGGTCATGCCTGGAATTTATGCTGGAGCTGCTCATGGGTGATGGAACAGAGAATGTTTAAGTTCTCTCTTGTGTAGATGTGTGCTGAACCAAGGAGTAAAATAGGGGGAATAATTGGAAGCTGGCCTAGAGCAAAGGGGGCTTCTTGAGATGGTGGTGATAGATGTCATGGACTTCTTTCATGATTATCTGTGCTGCAGGGTTTTGCATTACCTATGGCTTTGCTCCTCTTCCTTTCCTCTTAAATTACAAATGTGATTTAGCAGGCACTCTACACAAATATCCTGCAGCCATGTCCCACTGGAGAGCAAATCCTGATTAATTAGAGTGATGTATGTTTTGTAAGTAATATAAAAAACAGAGGAGTGGGTCTGAGTTTTGATCTCAGATGAGGGCTGCAGCTTTGAGAAGCCACTGCCCTGTGAGGAGGCAATTACAGCTTCACTTTGACTCAGGAACTCAATCTGCCAAGTGTGCAAGAGATGGAGCACGAGGGTGAGGGGTGTTAAAGTGCAGAGCTGCCAAAGTGAAGGTATTAGAACTGAGCACTGATGGAGGGAGCTAAAGCTTACATGTTCTGACCAAACACATTTCACTCACCAGTCATTCAAAATATCAGTCTTTGTCTGTCTTGTTTCATAATATTAAAAAGAAATCCACTCTTCAGAGTAGAAAAGGACTCGAGCATTGTCAAGAAATACAGCTGTTGGTTTCCCTTTGTCATTTGTATGTGTCATGGATCGTCACTGGAATTTTCAAGGCAGTAAACCAAAATGTCATGTAGTTGACACTGTCTCTGTTACCTTGCACATTCTTCTTCTCTCCTTGGCCATGGGCACCCAAACAGACAAGCACTGTTTGTGATAGTAACAATGCTGCTGCAGAGGGGAGATGATGGTGCACTGTAAAACAAAGTTGTCTGAAGTGGAAGAAGAACTGAAATGAAATGGAAGGAACAGGATGTGAATTTCTTATGCCAGTGTTTTCATGCAGCAAGCTCATCTTTGTTGCATGTTACAATAGTGGCAGAAGCTCTTTTGGGTGCAATTGGGTTGGTGTCTCCTCACAGAGATCAGTATCCACTAAAATCCAGTCTGTAATGAGAATTCAACCAGGTGAGGAAGTGGCCATGAGGTGCTTTTCAGAGAATGAGCTCTTGTATTCCACTGGATTATACTGATGCCACCAGAGTGGGAGGTTTTACCTCAGAGTCAATGATTGTTTCAGCTGGAAGGGATAAAAAGAGCCTTTTCATCTATATTTCTGGGATGACACACTTCAAATTCTAGAAGTATAGTCAATCCTTTGAGGTGGGAGTAACAATTAGGAGGTTTTTTTGACTGAGGAAACATTTCTTTGCTTTGATTTTATTCAGCCACTTTCCTCTTCCCTTCCTAAAAACAAGCACAAATCGATGGTGGAAACCAATTTAATACCTGAGATTTTGTGGAAATAAAATTTTGATCTTCCTCTTAGTGCATCAGTGCCACAACTACAGTCTTGATGTGTCATCAAGACTTGTTTCAGAGAAGTCCAGAGTATGTGCAAGTACTGAGAGGAGAGCTGGAGACTCTCTAAATTTAAAGACAACTAAAAGGATTTTATATATTATTTTTCCTGCATATAATGCCTTTTCTTGCCACAGGCCCATTTTGCAGTCATGAATGGCACCTTGCATGGCTTTCCTCACAGATTTTTTTTAACCACATGACCACTTACTGACAGTGAGCTAAATGTGGGAATTGTTGCTTTCTCTGCTTATTATTTGCAAATAATAACACTCACCATGAAGCTGTCGCTCCCCTTAGATGAAAAGCCCTTTTTGACATAGCACTAGGTTGGGTTGTGGAGCAGGAGCATCCAGAAGGGGCAGGGTACTGGAAAGGTCAGAGTTTGACAAAGGGTTAATGAGGTTGGTGGGGTTTGTGCTGTGGAAAGTGATGCTGGAAGGGGTTCATGTGATCTTTGCAGCCTGTGTGGCTCAGTTGTTTCATCTTCTCAGGTGGAAATAGAAGAGATTTAGATCACATATCAGGAAGAAATTCTTCCCTGAGAGGTTGGGGAGGCCCTGGCACAGGTTTACTGGAAAAGCTGTGGCTGCCCCATCACTGGAAGTGTCCAAGGCCAGATTGGATGAGGCTTGGAGCAACCTCGGATAGTGCAAGGTGTCCCTGCCCATGGCAGGGGGCTTGCAATGATCTTTGAGGTCCTTCCAACACAAACTGTTCTGTGATTCTCATGAGGCTGTTGGTTTTCATAGCAAACTGGTTGTGTAGTGGGATGGGGAGGCAAAGGAATGGATACCCTTCCTGTGGGATGTATCCCACAGTGATTATGGAAGGAGGTTCCAAGGCAGCCTCAACCGGTGGATGAGCTCTCAAGGATGGCCACCTTCTTCTGGGAGAGAGTGGAACATGTCCACACATCTTCCGAAATCTCTGAATCCTTCTCCTGCTCTTCCTGGCATGGGATTTGCTGGGCTTGGAATCCAAGCTGGGGAAAAGAAAGATCGTTTATTTTAAAAAATCATCTACCGCACACTGCAGCCCTGATTCCCATTAGTGGGCCTGTTACATGAGAAGTTATGCATTCGTTGTGTGGGTTAAATGTGTCATTTCCCTTTTCTCCTTCAGTAAGAGAGAAAATGAATGTATCTTCTGTGATAGCAGTTGAAGTAGATGCTGGGAGAATAGCTGCTACCAGACAAGGCAGAAACACAGCTTGATGCAAGTGGAAATTGGATATGTAGCAACACTTTATAGATCTGCATTTTTTTATGGTGATGACTGTTCCTTCACTTACAAGGAAAAAGAAACAGAGCAAAGAACTGAAAACCAAACGTCATCTTTCCCAGTCTTTCTATAAACGACTGGGAGAGTTGGCTGAGGTTTCTGATGCAAAATCCTTCATAGATATGCAACCAGAACTCACTGTTAAACTCCTAAATATCATTATTAGCACCTCTTCACAGTAGTGGAGGAACAGAACAAGGTGAAAAGGGGATGCTCTTCCAAACGGTGAAGAAGTTACAGCAGGAAAACAGAACTGTTCCCCGTTCGAGTTCTTCTGCATCCACTGACTTATTGACTCCTTTTCTAGTAGGAGATTGGTTTAAAAAACCAAAAAGGGTGAAAACCCAGCAAACTCCAGCCCTTTTATTTCACTTTGCTTAAAGCAGTTTGAGATATTTTCTTACCAGAAAGGAAGTGTTAAAATGCTAAATCACCATTAAAACAGTTTTCTTCCTTTGGTATACTGGGTTTTTTTCCTATAAATCTTTATTAATATTCTCCTTTCTCATGAATTATTTTCTGGTTTCAGACTTTCTGTGTAAGACCTCAGGTTTTAATGCTGTTTTTTTTTAAAGTTGAATAGCAGTGTACTGCAAGTTTGTTATGTTATCTCCTATAGGTTTCTCACTCTCTTTAATATTTGCCTCTTTTTGTATATTTTTGACAGTTCATTTGTTTTTCAAGAGGTTTGGTAATGATCTTATGCATTTTTCACCACCTTTCAATAATTTCTTCTTTATACACCATAAGTGTGTTGCTTGATGAGCTGTGGCTTGTTCTGAAGTCATTGAGTGAGTTAGTATTTGCCATCAAGAAAAAGTGGTATTTTGGAGAATATTTGCCATAAGCACCATGGTTTGTGCATGGTCTAAATTGAGCTCCAGGCCTTGGAGTGATGAAGTAACCTGATTATTCAGTCCATTTAGTTAATAATTCAGTTGTCTCACTTGTTCACTCAGAGATATCCATTCCCAACAATAATTGTAAATACTGAGGTTTTCAAGTCATTCTGACAAATTGAGGTGCTGATAATGTATGATTTGCATACAAATTTTAAATTTTAGTAGGCTCTGTGAATGTGCAAGCTTAATTTGCAGAACAACTAAAAACTTTAATGTTGTGTGTTTTCTGTTCTAGGACATTATAGTCAGGTGAATATTGATCATGTTTCATATTGAAAGATACCAACCATTAAAAGCTTCTGCTCGTTATGAAAACTGTGTATTTTTTCTGCAGGGTTAGATGTCTTACTGGAAGACAATTAATTTGCTTAATTTAATCCTGCTAATGTGATGGTAAATGATTAACTTTCCCATTTTAAATAAGCTGTTAATGATGTTTAATTTCAATTTCCAGTGCCATTTACAGTCCTAGTGCCAACAAGGATACACTGTCTGCCTTGGATTATCAGGGTCCCAAACGGAAGCTTTACAGTGCTGTACCTGGAAGACTTTTTATTGTAGTAAAGCCATATCAACCTCAAGGGGAAGGGGAAATTCACCTGCACAAAGGAGACAGAGTCAAAGGTGAGTACCTGGTTAATTTTGAATACGCATTTTTCTTCTGCTAGATGGAAATTGTGTAACAAAATTCTATTTTAGGGGGGAAATAACCTGTTCAATAGAAGTGCTTTTCTGCATTTGTTTCTTTACAGGGTATTTTGCTCCTAGCTGTGTTTCGGAACCAATGCATATTTAGCCACCATTTTAACTTCCATGTCCTCCTAAAAATTCAGAAGTTTGTGCAGTAATAGCAGCATTGTCTCTTACCCAGAGCACATCATATACTTCTGTAGTCATTACAGAGTGACCACTCCAGGGCTTTGAAAGGCTGTAAACAGCTCAGCAAGGAAACAGGGGTAAGAGCAACTCTGTTTAAAGCCCTTTCCTCATGGAACAATTTATTGGCTAAGCAGAAAATGTCCCCTCATGAGACTCAGTATGAGCAGGTAGGCAGAACCTGCTGGAAACACTTTGTGGAGGAAGCGTGGTGGGGCATGTTGAATTTCTGTCCACTGGGGCTCTTCCCCAGCTAAGACTGTGCTTGCATCGAGGCCAAACTCTGTGTTGTTATTTTGAAGGCAGTAAGTACATCCCCATACAGATGAGAAATTGGCTGATGTGGTTTACAAGACTCACCTTCCTGAGGGTGAGGTGTGATGCAGTTTCAGCTCTGATTTTGCATGTCCAGGTAAAACTAGTCATGGAATAAAAAGTGGTCTTTTTTTAAGGCATACAAATCAAACAACAGTTATGGAAATCAAGCAAAAGGGAATAAATTCAGTGTCCTAAATAAAAGTGTTAAGCTGCTGCAAATTTTCTTGTAATGGAAACTACTTATCTCACAAAGGAAAACTTCAAATATCTCCTCCCTTGAGCCTGCAAAAAGTAGTTGGAAAAAAACTAGGGAGCCCTTAGAAGGTATTTTTGCATTTTTATTTTTGGATGTACTGATTCTGAAGCGTTTGTGGGTTTAATAATTTTTGTTAACTCAAAAAGTGTAGGACAGAACTCTGAAGAACACTGCACTTGAAGATAAAACATGTGCAAGATTCATTTTAAAAGCAAGGATGAAGGAGGAAGGTTAAACTCAGGAGAGTCTGTAGGGCTGAAAAGGTAATTTTGTTGTTCTCAAGATTGTTCCCTGATCAGGTAGGAAGTAGTGAGTATAATTTCCCAATGAATGGAAGTTATCTAGGCTAGAGTCCAGTAGAAGACAAACTCCGAGGTTGTAGAATTGCTTGGGAATGCCAAATACCAAATTTGACAGCTCTGCATGTTTGGGAACCAGCTTTGCAGGCATCCAGTGTGTGAGAAGAAATGCAGAAGTAATGCAGAGTAACTTCCTAAAAGCCTTCAGGTGTCAAAAGAATGGGTATGATCTAGAGAGAGGTAAAGTTACATTATGAGTAAGTGTCATGCAACAGTATAAAGCAAATTAAAAGCAAATGTGATGTTTTCACTCCTCTAGAAAGGACACTGGGTCTTGGGTTAAAGTGGGAAGGTCCGGGGTCTTATGTGTAGAGTTTGGAGCTCACTGGAAGGGTGAAGGAACAAGGCAGTTGAGAAAGATGCTTGTTGGGCAATTACATGAAAATGAAAAAAATGTTGCATATAGTAGAAAACAAAATATTAAAAACAAAACAAAACCAGAGACTTAAGCACACCCCAGAGCTCTTTGCTTATTTGTAATCTCTGGAATTTGATTGTAGCAGGAAAAATTGCAGGTACCTTCAAAGGATGACATTTTGGGGGGATGAGCGGTAGTAAATAACCTTCTGAGTGTGTTTATGGGGATTAACCAAGTGTCAAAAGACAAAGAATGAGTGCTGTTGAGCACCATCATCTATTCTTTGGGGGATCTTGTACACAGAGGTGTTCTTGTTGGATTTAATTATGCAGGAATATGTTTGTTCTGTAGAGGATGTAAGACCAACAGAGATTCTTCTCACTAGAACAGGGCAACAGACAGTCCAGGCTGTATGTCCTGGCAGAAGAGGAAACTGTTGAATTTTTTAGAAGTATTCATCATCTGACTACTGGTTTGCATTGGGATTGGAGACTATTATATGCAAAAATATCCCAAGAATAAAGAGTTTAAATTTCAATTTCAAGGAAGAGTTTAATATTTTTAAAAAGTTAATTCAGGGCCCCTCGGTTCTAAGTTGTTATGATAGTAACTGGAAAACATTGCAAGAAGTAATTAGTCCACTTCTCAAATTTTCTTACGGTGGTTTGATGTAAGTGTGAGACCAAGGATTTTTGTGGGGGCAGCAACCAATGGATGTCAGAATGCTGAAACAGAAAATGAGATTAAGGCTGTTGTTTTTGGGTTCATGTTTTTGTTTGTTGGTTTGGTTTTGTTTTGTTTTTAATTATTATTTCTGAGGAAAATGAAAGTTTGTTGAAGAAAACCTGTAAATTAATTATTATGGTTAGCAAAAGGGGAACTTGCCCATCCAACATAAAATCATCCCTGCAGGGGTTATTTTTTCAGCTTCAAGAATATGGTTTGCACTTAGAATTAAAATCTGGTAGAGGTCTAGCTTTTCCAGGTATGTTTGTTTTAAATCATTTTAGAGAACTTTGCTGCAGTAAAGCCTAGTGAGGTTTCTGTAGATGTCAGCCTGCTTTTGGGGAGTTTGGAAAAAGAACAAGTCTATATAGGGAATTTCAGAGTTCCTGCTTAGGATTAAATCTTGTGAAACACAATTTAAGGCTGTTTGCATGGCAGGGCTGGGACACTGTATGACACTCTCAGTGCTATCAAAGGAGAAACTTCCAGAACCAGATTAAATCCTATTTTATGTTACCATGCCAATGGTTCCTCAGTTACCACGAAAAAATATGTCAGAATGAACACAGCAAGGTCATGTAGAGAAAAAAGAGTTCAGGCAAAAAGACAGTGATACTTTAAAAAGGTCTCAGTTGTGTAACAGTGTTGAAGAAGCCACTCAAAGCTAGCATTTGTGTCAAAAATCCAGGCCCAGTTAAACCTGGATTCCTGTCCCTGTTCCAGTAAAAATGTAATTATTTATAGAGAATAAGTGTAGTGATAGGACAAGGGGGAATGGCTTTAAGCTGAAAGATGGTAGACTAAGCCTAGATTTTAAGAAGAAATTCACTCCTGTGAAGGTGGTGAGCCCCTGGCCCAGGTTACCAGAGAAGCAACTTGCTGTGTGCAGTGCTTGAAAGGAAAGAAAGAACAATAAATCCCACGGAATTCAGTTTTTACTCACTTTGGAAACACTTTCCCCTCACCTTTGAAAAACAAAAGCTTTGTCTTAGCCCCTCTCCTCTGCCAAATTGGTAACTGCACTGCTCTTACAATACACTGATGCCTTCTTGGATTGTTTGTGGAATTCAGATGTGTCTCGGCACTTGCTGTGGGATTCTGACCCGTGTTCAGTCTGAACCTGGGGAGATGCTCATCACATGTTCATCCCATGAGACTAATCACAGTTAAGATGTAGCAAGGCATTTATTACGGGGATAAAAACCAGAACAACATATTAGAGAAAGGGATTAGTTGGGAAATGTTTTTATGGATTTTCTTTTTTAACTTGGTAGAATTAGAAGGGTCACAGAGAGAGGGATGGATTCCTAAACTCTTGATGAAAAGTGTTTTCATCAGATGGAGAGGAAGTGACTTTTTTTCCTTTCTAAAACTGGTAGAAGTACATGAGTGACAATAGTTCACAGTACATGATACAAGGAAGCTGCTCAGAGAAATCTGTGAATGGGCAAAGTTCAAAGGAAATGTAAACTAAACATTGTTTTTAAACTAAAATGGTCTTGTATTAATAGGATGTTACGTAGCCTGTACCAAAATACCTGCTTTATTTTTAGTTGTTAGTCATACACACTGACATCATCTGTGTGTCTCCACTGTTGAGAGAAGAGCCATGGCTGTTGTAAAAATAAATCTTATATCTTTGTTTGTACCAGAAGTATCCTAATCCTATGTTTTCACATAAATGAAGTCACTGAAACAATTTTAATTTATTTTTTTATTTTCTTTGTTCTATGTGAAAGCCCATAGCAACAAATACGCTGCAATCCAGATGCACACACATGTATATAAAGTATCTGTAAAATTAATTTAAATCTGCTTTTGCATTCCTAAATTCAGCTATTACACTGGAAATCAAGTGGTCTCACAGCTATTTTTTTTATTGAATCCCAGAATGGTTTGGGTTAGAGGGGACCTTAAAGACCACTTCATTTGCCCCCTCCCTGCCACGGGCAGGGACACCTTCCACTAGCCCAGGTTGCTCCAAGCCCTGTCCAACCTGGCCTTGAACGCTTCTAGGGTTGAGGCAGCTGCAGATTCTCTGGGCAAGCACTTCCAGTAGCTCACCACCCTCACAGGGAAGAATTTCTTCCTGATATCCAATCTAAAGCCACGCTCTGTCAGTTTGAAAGCATTCCCCCTTGTCCTGCCCTATCTCCCTGTGGAAAAAGGTCCCCTTCCAGCTCAAGCCATTCTGTGATTCTCTGATAGGCCTTTCCCTCTCTCACATAAGCTGTCTTTAGGTGCTGAAAGGCTGCCGTGAGTTTTCCACAGCCCTTTCTTTTTTCCAGGCTGAACAACCCCAGCTCTCTCAGGGTCTCTCTGTAGCAGAGATCTCCAGCCCTCTGAGCACCTTCATGGCCTCCACTGCACCTGCTCTAACAGCTCCATGTCTTTCTTGTGCTCAGGACTCCACACCTGGATGCAACACTCCAGGTGGAGTCTCAGGAGAGCAGAGCACAGGGGGAGAATCCCCCCACCTCAACCTGCTTATAGTAGAGTTTGTCCACCTGTATATTTTTGTTTCCTGCCCTGGTATTGCTACCTCCTGTCTTTCACTTGGGAACCAAACAGAATACAGGCTAGTTGTGGTAAATGATCAGTTTCTTTAGTTCTTACTGTGATTAAACAACTTTTCTAGTGCTTAGTACCTAGAAAAATGGGGAGTTATTTCAGTATCTCAAATATGCTTCAACAGACTTTTTCGTGAACCTTGTGAGATGCCTCCTGTGCA